TCGGTAGAGGCTCATTGACTGCAGTTCAAGTGTGTTGCTCCCGTTAATATGTTACCACAATTCATAACTAATGCGGTTTCATTATGTTAGGCACTCCTCGCCATGGTATTTAGCCCGTCATCAAGCACCATAATACAAGACTGACATCTTTCACAGGCTATATTCTCATCGACGGTGTCTGCGTTCAACTTCGAACCCTTAATGCTAACAGAGGCTGCCGTTATGGCACAAGGTTTAGGGTATCATCGTTCGAATAGTGCACAAGAAGGTCCGTGCCGTCGCACGTTCTGGGTGCTCTACTATATGGAGAAGACGTCCTGCTTTGCGACTGGTAAAACTTCGGTGAGTTGAGTATGGCCGTTATCATCAATCTATTCTTCTAAATCAGGGTTCAATGGGTCTAGGTATTAGATGATGCCAACATAAGCTGTGCTATTCCCGATATGATGGAGTCCACTTTCCACGACTATGACTGGTTCTTTAACTTCGTCAAATATGCTCGTCTAGTCTCCAAGATTCACCAATCTCTCTTCACAATCAGCTCGGTTAGTCAGCCGCTATCCAACTATAACTCTGTGGTTGAGAGCCTACGTATAGAGTTGGAAGCCTGGCGCGCGACCATTCCGACCCGGTTTCGGCCAGGAGAAAAATTCAAAACTCGTTCTTTGCACGAGCCCCTGGCGGTCCAAATTGCTTTGATTACCCACTTCCTTTATCTGAACGCTCTCCTTACACTGTCGTGGACCGTCCTCCACTACGGAGCCGTCCGTTTGGGGTCTACACAACAAGAACTTATGAAGCGCGACTTGATGCGGACTGCTCGAAGTGTCCTCGAGCTCACCGTGCACATCGAGGTAGCGCCTTCCACACCGGTCTGGTAAGCCTCTACTATATTGCTGAGCTATATAACGACTACTAAGTAGTGACCTACGCGGTCTTGCTGTGCCACAGGATACTCGCCGTCTTGCCACTATCATCGCTGATGATCTTATTCGACCTGGTGGTTCACAACGCCAACCACCCGGAAACTGGTCTCAGCCTCGCTCTTCTCGACATCGCCGGCGGGCACTTTAGTAGACTAGAATATGCCAGCAATGGTGCCCTTCCTGGATCTCTAATAGCAGAGTTTGCCCATCTTGCTCGTCAATACGTTTCCGAGACCCGCAAGCCCAAGTCTATGTCCAGAGACTCCAATGAGAGTAGCATTCCATTCCAAGCTCAGGACCGGGTAGGGACCTCTCCGTCCGCGCCAGAACCCACAACCAGTGTCGCCCCGGCAGATCCAACGGGGCTGGTTGCGCCGGCGGTGCTCCCGCAGGGGCCGGAACCTGTCGCTTCAGATGCTCCCGGGGTCATGCAACCTTGGAGCCCTGCTTCTCTTGATCGAAGTGAAGCGCTTTTCCTGCCTTATATCGACGATCCAACTTACTATTTTGGGGATTTGCAGTTGCTTGGTATCGATTTAAAAGATCTGTTTGACCATTCGTATCAGTTACCAGGAGTGAGCGATAGTGGGGTGTAGTCCCAACTCAGCGCTACATGTACCATCTTCGTCTCTCACATCATAGGCCATCCATAGTTATCATTGCCAGGTACGTCTCACTTTCTTAGCTCATCCTCGTTCCTGGCCAAACACTACCCTGAAATTGAATCAAAGTTCGGGGCTTCCTTGCAGTCCAAACGCAGCATCGATCCAATCAATCCAATTGTCACCCTATGGCCGACTGACAAAGAACTTCTGCAACCACAGGAATGCAAGTATAATATGCGATGCATCATGACCTTGTCGAAAATAGACACCCTAAAGGGCTGATCGTGCGAGTGGCCTAGTTTTGCCGGAAACGGAAACGCGGCCCACTAATGACATCCATCAGTCACGTGCAATGTATCCTCACTAGCAATATATTTGTGAGCACGTCTTGTCAACTTTCTACAATTGTCACGAACCCGCTGTAGTCGAAGAAAATTCTTTATCTTTTTTTGCCCGCGGGCTTCCTCCATATAGAGCCCGCACGATGTCGTACGGTCGCTCCGCTCCTATAGCAATGGAGCAAGAACTTCGTCATAAGACCAGCCAGACAATGTCTCCGACCCCAGAATTGAAGGTCGATCGTCCGCACGGGTTCAATCTGGCCAGCAAGGGCGCTGGAGTTTGTGGAAACGTTCCATATCCCTACCGACTATGTGAGATACATACTCTAGTTCACCTTTTCTGTTGAACCGATACCATGCTACCGCGGCGGCCAGACTTATCCACTCAAAGCGCGATAAACCTTCAAGGGAAGGAGGGTGTGACACGACAAAATGTATGCCTTCATATCGCCGTATCTCGTGATGGCCGCATGTGCTTATCCTCCTGAGAAGCGATTGCCATAGCCTGAACCCGATATTCACTTCAATATCGATGCCAACATTACCATATTGGCCACATTCCTGGCATCACCTAGGGAAATAATCCGACGATGGATCGGGGGTTTATTCGCCATTCAGTGGCGCAGTTAGTCGGTGTCTAATCGTGAGGGGGCCCGTTACTGTCCACATCGTGCCTATGACGTTATTGTTCGCACTGCTCGGTCGGAGAATGGATTAGCAACCGTGATGAAAACAGTCGTCTGGGACCCGGATATACCTGATGCAACCTGGAAGGTAGCTGGCAGTACATCTCCAGGGCGTGAAGCCTAGGATGACACCTGGATCAGTCGCAAGGTGACCGCAGCTGTTGCACATCCAGGCGGTGTGGCTGGATATGCTTGGCCATGAGATGCAGGACACTCCGGGAAAACGGAAGTAGTCGGTGGTACTTCGAATATCTTTCTGTGACACTGTCTGAGCCCTGGGGAATGGTGGGAGTGAGTACTAGCAGCTAAAAGAGTGGAGGGTGTATCTCATTACACAGTAGATACTATCCAGCGATGGTCACAAGTCCAACCCCGCACATGCACTCCGGCTTGCCGAGAAGCGCGCGGGTCCTCCCAGATTGGCTAGTCCTGCGGGACTGGACCATGTTACGCTCCGCGACAGCCAATGGCTCGCGTTGTTGCCGGCATGAGATCGAGACATTGGCCGCCAATCGGCCCTGCTGGGCCCCGCCTGGATATCCCCCGACCTTTCAAGGTCCCTCTTCTTCATCTGCAAGCCTCGAGCTTGTCTCTCCATCCCTCCGCCACAGTGGTACGATCGTACAACTTCATCCCCTGTACCGTCACTATGGATGCCAAATCGCTGCAACAAGCACGTGGGACGCCGCCTCCCGAAGAGCGTCGTCCCCTTCTCGGTCCCGATGGTGAGGTTGTACAATATGATGTGGACGATGACATAAAGGGTAGGTCCCGACAACCAGCATCACGATGGATATCAGTTTGGGCCAAGTCAATCTTTATCACGGCCATCCTCTTGATTATGTGTATCCTGCTGGTCCTGTCCTTGCTCTTTCTGGGCTTAGGTATCTCTGGCCTCCCCCATGGCCCGTCCGAGAAACCATCCTCTCCACACGCTCCTATCAAGAACGTGGTGGTACTCGTTCAAGAAAATCTCTCATTTGACACCTATGCGGGAGGCCTGACATACAACTCTACAATTGACGGCCTCGTGAACAGAAAGTATTGCAACCCTTCCGATATAGAAGATCATAAATCGCACCAAGTCTGTGCCAAACCTACCGCCAAGAATGTCGCCCCCGATGATCCCGACCATTCCATCGCGGGTGGATCAATGCAGGTCTACAGCACTTATCATCCGGATAACATCAGTAGTGCTTCCATGCAAGGATTTGTGACAGAACAGGTCCGCTCATACGGCATTGACGGCGACCTCTCCCGCGCGGCCGAAGTCATCAACTACTACACCCCGGACCATGTCCCTGTCCTCAATGCTATGGCAGAGAACTTTGTACTGTTTGATGCCTGGTTTGCTGCAGTTCCGGGTCCTACTAATCCCAACCGCGCCTACTTGACGTCTGGAACTAGCTATGGGCATGGAATGAACGACATTGGCTTTTTGACCTCGGCTCTGCCTCAGGTGTCAATATTCGAACAGTTGTCCAACGCCAACATCAGCTGGATCAATTATTCCAACACAACTGGCTTCCTCCCCGATGCACTGTTCTATAAGTGGACATTAAGGACCGGAAAGTCCGAGAAACACATAAAGCCCATCGAAGAGTTCTACCGCGACGCCAAGGCAGGCACTCTTCCACAGTTTACCTGGATCAATCCTGAATGCTGCAAGTACATGTCGTTCCATCCTCCGTCCCCCATAAATATGGGCGAGAGATTCATCAAGAGCATCTACGAGGCGCTTCGATCCTCACCGCAGTGGAACGAGACCCTCTTCATCTTGACCTTTGACGAACACGGAGGTTTCGCGGACCACGTCTCCCCGCCTGAGAACGTGCCTCCTGGTGACCATCGCACTCATAAAGAGTGGGCTCTAGATGGAAGCCGAATTGAGTTCAAGTTTGATCGGCTGGGAATACGCGTCCCCACGCTGCTGATGTCTCCTTGGGTCGGGAAGGGTGTTGTGCAGAATCGCCCCACAAATCAGCCGAACGATTTCACCCATACTTCTATTTTGAAGTATCTCTCTGAACTGTGGGATTTACCTGTATTGACGCCGAGAGTTGCCTGGTCGCCAAGTTTCGGGGGCTTGATCACCAACAGGTATCGGGAAGATACCCCTGAGAAACTTCCTGAGCCTGCTGACTTCTAGATGATCTATAAGGGATGTGATGTGATAAATGTAATGACTAGAATGGACCATAGGTTGCACACTTTCTGCATATGATATTGGCTGAGCACTGGATCTGGCTCGAGAACAGTGTCAATTACTTGATTAATTATTCTATTCTCGTTCATAGTTATAAAGAATGGCAAGCTATCACAATTGAACAAACAAATTGGTATCTCAAAAGCAAATGATCACTTCTCCACACGACTAACATACTGCCTGGGTGGACGAGCCTCCATCCCTTCTCCCCTGCACTGCAGCAATCACCTGACCCCTTAGAATCCAAGGAACTTCTTCCGCTTGGATTTGACCGACCGCGACCTCGATCGCTGCGTGATCGCCGAGTTCCTGGTGTTGACACGATCGATATCGTACGGGTTTGCCTCGTACTTCCGACCTTCACGCTCATCACTCGACACCGATGCCGTAGCCACCGACTCGGCGCGCTCAAGGTCCAGCTCCCGATCGACCCTAGTCTCATCCACTCCATCGGCGACCGCCTCGGCCTCTTCCTCGGCAACTTCCTGGCCCTTCTCCGGGTTCAGCGACTTTTCAGCGAGTTTCCTCATGAATGCATCCGCTTCTCCAGCATACTTGCATTTGCGTCGAATAGCGGCACCATACTTGTAGAAGATGAACGGGAAAGGCAAGCAAGCGACCGACAAGAAAGCTGGAATGCACGATGCCCAATGGATACCCAGGTTCTGGTACATGTACGTCGTGAAGAGAGGGAATCCTGCGCCAAAGCAGCTTCGAATGATGGAATTGGCGGCCAACACCGAGGCAGCATAGATCGTGTACGCGTCAATCAGGTATGACATGATATTTAGGAAGACGAGGACCATGCCGAATCCGAACGGAGCAGACGCAATGATACTGACGATCCAGTGAACGTTGAGACCGTTGGTCCAGGCGAACCAGAACAACCCAATCGGGATGGTGATACTGCCGATCATGGAGGGTGGAAGACGTGCCTCGGGAGGTGCGAACCCACGGTGTTTCTCATGCACACGCTTGTACCGCTTGTTGTCCCACATGTTGTATCCTACAGCTGACATCATTCCGACCATAACTCCCAAGAAGGGCAGACTGCCTACTCCTTCGTTCCAGCCGCGCAGTTGTTGGTATACGATCGGGAAGGCGTCGAAGAGCATGTACAGCGTGCCGTAGACGATGGCCATGTATAGCGAGAGAAGGAGGACAATGGGCTCGGCGAAGAGGAGGATCCATGGGCGCAAGAGAGCCGCTCCGAAGGCGCTGGTCACGGAGACACGGCCACGTTCGACGTCGAGTTTGCTGATGTACGTCTTGCCGGTGAGCTTGCTGAGACGGTCGGCGCGCTTGCGGAGGAGGACTGGGGCGTATGTTTCGGGGACAATCAAGAACTGAACAATCCAGATGAATCCAGTAAAGGCTGCCAGGAAGCCTTCCACCCATTTCCAACCGGCGCTCTGACCCAAGAAACCGCCGATGACAGGCCCAAGAGTCGGTCCGAGGAAAGGACTACCCGCAAAGACACTCATTGCCAATCCTCGCTGTTCAGCGGGAAAGACGTCTGCAATTAGTCCACCAGCGTTGGTTAGAGGACTGGATCCGAATGAGCCAGCGAAGAATCGCAAGATGATGAGTGTCCATGGGTTTTTCGAGCCGGTTGCACCAGCGCTGAACACGGCCAGGCCCATGTAGGAGACAAAGAAGACGAGTTGGCGGCCGATGAGTTCACTCAGCGGTGCCCAGACGAGAGGGCCAATAGCAAACCCAAGCACGAACAGTGACACACCCAGAGTGGCTACCTCAGTACCGATGTTGAAGTGCTCAATCACTTGGTCGATACTGCCTGCATAGGCGGAAGAGGCCATGGAAACGCCAAAGGTCGCGAACGCAGCAATGATGGTGTAGACCCATTTCATGTTCTTGTTGAAGAGCATGGGGTTACGTGGGTCATTGGGAATCCATTCTACGACGAATGGGTCGGACTCGGTCCCTGAGCCGACATAAGGATAGTCGATGATCTCCTGAGTGACGACACTCTGGTCGACAATCAGACGCCAGTGAGGAATCTTAGCCATGATTTAGTTGGGGATCCTCCTGAAAGACCTGGCTGGGGTTGGAGCATGATGAACTGAGACAGATCAAAGCAGGTGGAGTAGCCTAGTTATAAGAATAATTAGCTTGCTGGGGCTGTAATGGCGTGTTATGAGGAATTTTCCTAGGCCTGGTACCCGACGGCACTATGACCCGATCACACTATGCAGGGCTACCCTGATTCATTTGCTGCAGGCATCCCAAGGGACTGGCCGGGTGAAGAATGATTTGATCTGAGCCATGGGCAAATCCCAATGCTTGTCCAGGATCCACTGGTACGGCATGGCTCCACTCGGTGGAGGCTTCGGCTGTGAGTTCGGCAACCCGATCACCGACCGGACCGAGGCTGCGTGCGGCTCTCGTATTGTTATCTGGGCAGAATCGGTCACATTACAGCTTCAGAATACTTCTGGAACTTCTCGCGATCCTCCTGGTTGTTCTATGGGCTGGTTGAGAAGAAATCAATACCAGGTAAAGATGAAGCCTGATAACCGAGCCCACGCGAGGCATTCCCACCCTCGGCTTGCAGATCCCTATGCCTGTTCCAGTTGTGCTCCAGGTCGTCTGCATAACATCTGCACTAAGCAAATCCCGGAAGACGATACAGCACCGTCACGAGCACAAGCACATAATGGGGCCGGGTGTACCTGGCGAACCATTGGTGATTTCAGATAAGCTTTGTTGTCATTGTCGCGTCCTTTGACGTGTGACAGCGCCATCTGGTTGGACATCCGGCTCGGTCGGAATCTCGATACTTTTTTATGTTAATCTTTTTGAGCATAAGTCTTCAGTGAGCACTACTTCCTCCATATGCTGGGTCGTGTGGAAAATAATTCCGCCCGCTGGTGGGGTCTGTTGAAGCACTGGCAGCTGCCTTCTTTTACATGTCATCAGAGCAAGTCTCATACGTGGTGCGATATTGGGAATGCCTCAGGGACTGCAACGCATTTGGCATTCATTGACACTAACTACAACTTTGACTTGACTCTTATCAACCCCAGTCCCAATAATGGCATAATACTGATCATCTGGGCCACCTGAGTTTCCGTTCATCAGCACAACGGCGCTTGGCGAAGAGACACTTAACCCACCCAATGCCACTTCATTCCTAGGCGCTGGAAATATGTAAGAAGTGCACCACGAGGCACATAGCCAGAATATGTCGATTGCCATCTCGCCGCAAACGACCCGGCAATTGGTCCCAACTCTCCGAATCCCAAGATTTCGAGCACCCACGGTGCTAAGACCGCCAGCACCCCCAAGGCAAGAAGAATTGCAAATACTGGGTGCTCCTTGGCAAATTCCACTGCGGCTTCCTTGGCCTTCGTCAAAGCGTCGGCGGCAGGGCCGGCCATTTCCGCTCCAGCCTTAATAGCGTCGCTGAGACCATGGAGGATAGCTTGGGCAATGGACTCGCTCCACCCGTTGGTATCGACTTGTTCTTGCAATCTTTTATGAATGGCCTCGTGAGTTTCACCAGTCAGAAGGATGTTGACAATGTCGGATGCAACAGCGGAAGTGCGCGCATCGGTTTGGTGGACGCTGGGCGATGGTCCCCAGATGCATTCCACGATCGACTTTATGATGGTCATTTTCGGTGCAGAAGTAAACGGTTGAGGTGGGCTTTCGGTAATTGTTGATGGACTTCGAATATTCCGGAAGCGATGGTGGACTTGCGGTCTTCTAGAGGTAGAGGAGTTGGTTCTGCGGGTGAGAGACGGACGTTCCAAAGATGATGAAATAATGATGTCCATTCACTGTTATATATTATGCGCTGCGAGCAGTTGCCGCAGCCAAGGCACACTCCATGAACGCCCATTGAACCGATAAAATAGAGCGCGTCCAATGATGCCAATGTTGACCACAGCCTTGCAGCTTAGCTTCAGTTTCCATGCATACACGTCCAAGGTTGGTTGGTCGCTCTGGTATCGCCGGTGTCGCTAGGCGCCGCACTGCTCTCCGCCATGCATTCATTCCACGCCAACGATTTGGCGCCGAACAATAGTGCAGCTAATAATAGCTTGGTTCAGCCACAGGCATGCCCCTCTGCTACCAACATGACCTCCCTTTATGGCTCTGGTTTGCTCGGGTCTGGTGGAAATGTTGTTCCGATTAGCAGTTAGGCCAGGTGCTCATGGCCTCAGGACCCGGCGTCCACGTGAGGCACCCTCCTTGCCTGTAGCATCATTGCTCTATCCAGTGTATCATGCATGGTCGCTACTACGCCGCATTAGCTCTAGCTTTCTCTGACCCATTGTTCGTGCTTTTTGCATCCATATGTAAGTCCTCACGCATAACGGTACAGCCAGATTCCCCCGACATGATCGTCAACACTAACGACGTTAGGGCGCTAATGGCTGTTGACCGTTCTGAAACATGCCCTAAACTGGGAACACTCCGTTTAAGGATACACTAAGCAGTCAAATCGCACGTTCTGCTTACCACAAGGGAACCAGAATAGAGCGCTCGTTCTCACCGGTCAGCAATAATGACGGAGACCCAACCGCCACCGGTCCAATGCCAACATCATGGGTTCCTTTACCATGATGGGAACTGCGGGGAACGAATATCAAGAAATCTTCAGCTATGCGCGGATCGACAGCTGTTGCGTGGAATACACAAGCCCCTCACGAGTCTGACGCTGCCTGTTGCGCGTATTTTTGTGGGCTCGTTATCCTATAGCCAATTGCGTGCTCGTTAAGGTGCTACATTCCAGAATGTGGGAAGTGATATCATGCCACCCTATACCAAGAGTCGCTAGCCTTATGAGCAGAAACAGGTCCAGAGCCCCCTTCTGCGAAGTCTGTATGCCGGCTACCCGTCAACATGCCCATATGAAGAAGACCTTCCAACGCCCCGAGCCTCTTGACACGGCCAGTAGATGATAAGCTTGTGGACGATCCGTGCCCATTCTGTGATAAAGATGCTCCGTGACACGTCACGCAAAGATACTCCCGCAGCATACAACCCCAGTGTGTACTACATGCTCGGGTCATTTCCTGGCTCTTAACAACGGCTACGCACATTAGCAGGCACGCACCGTTGCTTGGTCGTGCTTGGGGATCCTTTGCTATCCATCGCACTGACCCGCACCAGCTTCTTTAGTCCAAATAAGGGGCAAACAAGTGGGGAGGTGATCCGCGTGTTCTACTGATCATCTCCACAACCACAACTCGAGGTATGCATCCCTTGATTGATCCACAACCACCTGGTCTTTAAAACCAACCGATGGACTGAGACATCCATTGTGAGCGGTTGATATTCTCACCATGGGCGAATTCGGCATTGAAGAGCTTTCTGATCTGAACGTCCTTGCTGCCGAGCATGGACTGGAACTGACCCCAGACGGGTGTCACTTGCGCTGGGCTCGAACAAATCCCAAACATCCGCGGAACTGGCATCCAGTGCGCAAGTCCTACGATATTGTTGTGATCTCGCTTTTAGAATTCTTCACGTGAGGTTGTCTTGAGACTTCTGTGATATGTTGCTGACATCAACTGTCCAGGACATGTCTCAGTACCTCAGGAGTGAGTAGGGCTTTCCGCACATATGCACAATGTCTCACATTTGACAGGCCACAACAGCCACGGCCGCACAGGCCGAGTTCGGGACGTCAAAGACATTGACATTGTTTCTATATGTTTCAACGTGCGCTACCAACCCTTTCCTATCACCGGGCAATAGACACTAATTGCTATAGTTATCTTCTAGGACAAGGCCTGGGGGGGATTGTATTTCCCCCTTACTCGGAATCCTTCGGTCGAAAGAAGCTCTATATTTTTAGCGCGTCTTTATACAGTGTATTCTGCCTCGTCATCGCGGCGGTCCCGTCAATTCCCTCCCTGGTCGTCGGCCGTTTCATTACCGGCTTCCTGTCAGCCATTCCTACCGTTGTGATTACCGGAAGTATCGAAGACATGTTCAACACGCATGATAGGATCTTCGTCATGTTAGTCTACGTCTCGATGGCATGTATGGGTGTCAGCGCCGGGCCTATTATAAGCTCGTATATTTCTGTTCGCTTTGGATGGTGGGAGACTTCTAAGCCTTTTGCCTTGCGATTGCTAACACTGGCGCAGGAGATGGGTATTTTACGTTGGCGCTATTGTCTCGGCATTCCTCGCTGCGCTTCTTTTATGCATCAAGGAATCTCGACCGTCCCTCATTCTTATGCGGGAAGTCCAAACTCTGCGTAAGCTGACCGGGAACGATACGTTCAAGGCGCAAAACCCGGATTACATGCCGGATTTGCGCACCTTCCTCCATCTCGGCTTGTTGCGACCTCTCCGTCTCTTCCTAACCGAGCCTATCGTCTTTATTGTGACAATGATATTCGGAGTGTGCGTGGCCTTGGTCTACCTCTTCACGGAAGCCCTTCCCCCGGTCTATGAGCAATTCGGCTTCAGCACGGAACAAGCATCCCTCCCGTTTCTCGCCCTCGGACTCGGTGTTATCCCCAACGCTTTGACCCGCATCGTGGACTACCACATAATCCGAAGACGCCAGAAGAAGTGCGGAGTCCTCAAGCCAGAACACAAGCTGACTGGGATCTACATCGGAGCACCTGTACTCGCGATCGCGCTCTGGTGGTTCGCCTGGACGATCCCTCCCCAAGTGACCAATGTCAACTGGTTTGTTTCTGTGGTGGCGCTCTTCTTCATCGGATACGCACTTAATGAGCTCGAGATAGTGGTGACGGCATATATGGCAGATAGCTACCTGAGCTACGCTGCTAGCGGCTTCGCTGCTCTCTCCATCATTCGGTCCTTGCTCTCGGCCGCGTTTCCCCTTTTCGGGAGTAAGATGTTCGATGCACTGGGTGCTAACGTGGCCGTGTCGATCCTGGCCGTGCTAGCAACGATATTCTGTATCGTGCCGCCACTTCTCAGTCGCTACGGAGAGCAGATGCGGATGCGGAGTGCGTTTGCCAAGTATAGTCTGCAAGTGTATGCGGAGAACGGGGTGGATCAAGACTTTCAGTAGTTGTCTGCAGATGCTGCATGATACCTAAACTGAGAGTTTATTTGGGTTCGGTGCATGCTGGTAACTATATTTAGTGCCAAATAGCACTGAGAAAGAGGCGGGAATATATACCTAAGTACTATTAATTGACACGGAAAGACTAAGACTCATGATTACGACCATTTATGGGGATACTATGCTATGCTTTGGGAGGCTGGGACACGCACAGTTAGAGTATATTTGTATCATGAAGGTGCTTTTAATCAAATAAATTGTTAATTATGATGATGTTTGTAGTTTTGTGCTTTGTATAGTGTAGGTAGCAGTAGTGGCACTAGTTATTATTGGTACTAGTGGTAGAAGCGGTAAGTACCACCATAACCTCCTACTAATGTATTCGTCTAATGCCGAGAAAAACCTTAACTGAGCGCTTGATTGCACGCTGATCAATCATTAATTTGGAATCAACCTAAATCGTAATATCAGATCGTACGAGTAAGTAGTGTGTGTGGTACACCCTTAGTAAATAGGAATCAGAGGCCATACATCTCACGGGCTGATCCCAACTAGCAAAAATATACATATAACTCCGAAGCTACTTAGTGAAATTCTCCTCAGTGAATTCAAATTCAAACTTACTATTCATGCCAAATCTCATATACCAGTACTAGTCTTATGATGTGCTTAATTTCTTCCGATTATGCTAAGGTCTG